CCCCCCCCACGAGCTGGCGTCCGATGCAAGTAAGATTCCCTGCTCCCTTCTTCTAGCCTGTTGCGCTTCGGGTTTCCCCTGCAATCAACGAGACTGGCTCGAATGCCGTCCTTGCGTCTTTCTTAGATTCTCGCCGCTCACAAGGACAGTGGAGCACGGGATCGACGGGAGGATAGATGTCACTTTTCCTGAATGGCGAGGCAGGACAGTTTAAAGTTGGGTTGCGGGTTGAGTTCGAAACCGGCCAAGGTTTGCTTGGGCTTAGTCTCTAGGATTTACGTTTGGCGGGGCTTCGAGGGGAGCAGCCGGGTATCTGGCGCTAGATGATGCGAGGACTGAGTGGATGGAATTGATAAATCGGAATAGGGTTGTGGGTGGGCTTCTGGCAAACAAGTGAAGTATCGAACCGATTGATTGATGCGGATGATGATCAACATTTTCAGTCTCGATGCGGACATACATGAAGGATTTTCACAAAATGAAGACAAAGCTTCTATATGCTTCTATCCCCAACGTGCCATATATATACACACACACACATACTACGAACACGCAACATGACACCCATGGAACCCAAACGGCACCGCGACCTCCATCCCCGCCCTCCCCACCTCCTCAAACGTCCCCGCGTCCAGCACCAACAGGTAACTCGTGCCCCGGGTCCCGTCCAGCACCACGCTCAGGCACACCCCCGCGTCCTCCTTCCCCCCGCCGTCCGGATCCGGCAGGAAGACGGGCTCCCCCGGCGACTGGGCGTGCACGACGCGCGCCGTCGCCGTCCGCGCCGCCGTGTCGTACTTGATCAGCCCGTCGAGGAAGGTCGAGTTGCCCCGGTCGCAGACGCCGTAGATGTAGCGGTGCGGCTTCGTCGCGCGCAGCGGGTTGACGCTGGGCAGTTCGGGCGTGTCGCCGGCGGGCGCCACGGACAGGGCGCTGGCGCGGCCCGGGGTGCCCGTCGGGGCGACGCGGGCGCCGCCGACGTCGGGGAGTCGGAAGCGGGTCAGGCGGGCTTTGCACGTGGCGCCTTTGCCGTCGACGTAGTCGCGCGCGCCCGGGGCGGTGCCTTTCATGTTGTGGTAGTAGAAGCGCTTGAGGATGTCGAGGTTCGGGTACGTGGGGATGTCGGCGACGATGTCGGTCTTCCCCGCCTCCGTCGCCGAGGCTTGCTCCCACGCGTTGACGGGGTGGAAGGCGAAGAAGGGCTCCGATTCGTACATGCCCACCAGGCCTTGCCCGTGCCGTCGGTCGACCACCAGCCAGAGGTTCTTCCGGTCCGGGTCGAAGTCCATGGCGTCCACCAGGTTCCGCGTCCAGAGGACCTTGGCGCCGCCTTTGGCGTAGTAGGCGTCGAAGATGCAGAGGATCACGTAGCGCTCCGTCAGCAGGATCGAATGGAGGTACGCCGCCCTGATCGGTCCGCCGGTGAGAGTGGCGAGGATGGTGGTTTCCCCCGTCTTGGCGGACACGGAGAAGACCCGGTACGTTGGCTGTCGACCGACTTCGAGGTTGTAGTTGTACCAATCTCCGGTGATGGGGTCTGTGCGGGAGTGGGCGCCCGTGAAGGGTCCTTTGAGGTCCGGGTGGAGTTTCGGCTGGCGGACGGCGTCGATCGGTTCGAGGGTCGTGGGGTCGATGCGTTGGAGGGTGGCGTTGTCGGTTTTGAGCCAGAGGTTGTTGATCTTGGGGGAAGAATCGTCGTCGGAACCGGGCTGCGCCTTTCCGCTGCTGGCCAACTCGCCGGGCACCGGCATGTTCGCTTTGATCGTCACCCCTACGTTCACGTCCGCGGGGGCTTTGATGCCCCCTGAAGTCGCCGCTTGAAAGGAGCTCATGACCTTTTTGAAAAAGGATTCGCACGGGTCTCGTTGCTGACCGAACGATGTCATGGCCATTTCGCCAGAATTGCGGACTTTCTCCACGAGGTTGTCGCAAGTGTGCCGTGAATTGTACCTTACGCGCGTGATGAACTCCCCCTCCGATGGCGGCAAGAGCTCGAAGCGGTGGGTTTGCGCGAATCCATCAAACCAGTGTGATACGGCGAAGGTTTTGTTTTGGGGGGTGGTGACTTGATGGCCGCCAGGACCCGTGCGGTAGAGGATGCCTCTACGAAGGCTTCAGTTTTGTTTGCTGGACGCCGGAGTACCTTGCAGGGGGCTTACGCCGCATAGGCTGGAATTCTGCCCGACACTTTGAGCTCGACGGGATCTGTTTCATCGTGGAAGGTTTCAAACTGGGGAAGAATATCAACTCAGCCGAGAGTCACGAGAGGGTACGCAAAGAACTCTACATACTCCCGCATCGTTTGGCCAATCATTGTATGATTTTGCAGTGGTCGTGACGCCATGAGGAGCATTGGGCGCTTTGAGCTCTTCATCCAGGACGGCCATTTTTCTCAACGTAGTGATTTCAGTAAGGCTTGAGAATAGTTCTCGGTTCTCATGTCATGTAACGTTCTGAGGAAGGAAAAGAAGTAAGTGAAAGGGAGAGAAAGTGGGAAAATGAAGAATTTGTATACATGTACCTAGCCTGGCGGGGTATGCGGCACATGGGATGTTGACCCGGCGGAGGAACTCGATGTCCGCCAAGCCCTCGCATTTTCATTCCCTCCGCTTTAGAGAATCATGGTGGAATTGTTGCCCCATTGTTCCAGTGCCCTTTGACAAGAATACTAAGGGTGTCCAAATCTAAGATGATCCATAGATGCTTAGGCTTGGTGATGGTGATGGTGGCAATGTTACATCACCTGTAGCGCTGTCAAATGTTTACTTTGGGCCTCGGGCTGGAGCCAAGTATCTGTATCTGTATCTGTTTCTGGCAAGTTCTCCTAGCTTCTGTTAAAGATTTGGCGTCTTTTCTCGATTCGTGCCAAAGCGCTGACTATTCTCCCTTCTCTCATCACGCATTAGGCTTGTTCCCTCAACATTGTTCATATCTCGACCTCATACCTTTTTGCCTGTGTACAGTCCTTGGTTGATCAATAATTCGGATCGTTATCGTTCTAGGTTATGCTCTCGACCCATCTGAAACATTTTGAGGGGGAGAGGGGGAGAAGGGGAGAGGAGGTATTGAGTAAGATGGTGTAGTGGATGTGGATGTAGATGGATAAAGTCAGCGAGCTTGCCTCAGGTGTGTATCCAAAAAAGGCCTAGTTGCCCAATCACTTCCTGCACCTCCTGGTGCCACCATCATCGTCATCCCGAACTCATCTACTTCCGTCAGCCACATATGCTTTCTCTCCTCTGCTACTGATTCTCCCCGGGGCTCCCTCATCAATTCTCCCATTGTAAAAGCACCAGTGTCCCACTTGGCTAGCCAGCGATTGTAGGCGCTCTTCCACTGCTCCTCACATTAAGACTGCCATAATGCTTTGCTCTCGGGTGCTGACAAGATTCTAAGCTCATCGCACGGGGATGTTGGCAAGTTGTTGGCTGTTGTGAAGATGCAATCGGAACAGTAGAGTACAAGGTTGGCGCGGCACTTAGCAGACACTAGGATCCATTCCTCCCATGTTGGACGAGTGTGGTCCTTCTCTGCCTTTGTTATAAGGCCGGAGCCAACGATTGCGGAGCGGTAAGCAAATTGCTGAATGTTTATAATAGTGGCTTCATGCACCAATGACTGAAAGCTGCTACTCGATGAGAAGAAGACCAAGATGAAATAGGTGAGAAGCGCTTGAACTGCTGCCAAGAGGTCAAGCTCGTTGTAGGTGCGGTACTGCTCTCATACCACTAGTCAACGTTTGCTTCTAAATACAGACGGAGCTGGACGAACCTCATCCAAAAGTCGTCCACTCTCACGCCGAATGCTGTCTATGACCAGTTGCTCAGCACCCTCGGCTCGGTCTTGTCACACACGTAATAGGTTGATGCAACTGGCGAGAGGCACAGGAATCCGATGTGTCGAGATCTGCCAAGGGTGAATAACGGGAGGTAGCTGATCCTTTTGCGACAACATTCGGGGATGCGTCCGCAGGATCTGACGGTAAAATTGCACTGACATCTTTTTGGATGACAATGACAAGTCTTACTTGATAAAAAGAGGACATGATTGAGCGATCGATCTTGAAGCGGGCTCAGATCTAGGACGGCTACCCTTTGCTGCTCAGAAACTGGAAGAAAATCTTCCTCCATGGTCAGGATTCCAGGAGCTTCCACGAGTGGTAGGTAGTTGGCCTCGGACTCGAGTAAAGAAGGCAATGCTAATTGGCCAGGAGACGAGGACTTTGGATCCGCTATGAGATCCAGCTTGTTGTAGTCGGACGTTGACCATGGAGTATCCATTTGTTCACAAGCAACAAGAATGGAACTCGGCGATCAAGAGGTCGGAACGTTTGAGGATGACTCTATCAAGTGTGACTCTCTCACAGGCCCATTACCCGGACTAGGCGTCACGAAGTCGGTGACTGCGTAGTCGCATTCGGCTCCTCTACTCGCGCATCATGAGCATTCGGGACGTTGGAGGTCACATTTTGCTTTGGCAGCGACACAATGCCGACATGACTTCCGTCTTTGGGGGCAGACTTCTGGATGCTCACATCGCGTCTGATGACAATTGGCCGACATTTTGCTCGATCATCAGGCTCTACTCCTGAATCTTTCTGAGTTTTACCTACTCTTTCCAAACGGTCTCCCACAGTGTGAGCAATTGAATGGCTTGTCCGCCACGGTTTATGCAGGAAAGGAGGAAGACTTTCCTGCAGGGTTGCCTCAATCCCTGAGACGTGCCAAGATCGCTAAGCCCCTTTGGGATAGTTCGTGAAAATCTTTCGACTTCGAGATATCCCGCTTCGGTAAAAGTGAGAGCTTCCATTCTCAAGGAGCTTATACCCGAACTTGCGGATACACCTCCAGACATCCTCGATTCATCCTCCCCATCCTTCACAATACTCCTTCATCAGTGGCAAAAGTAACAGCCAACGGCCCCAAGACCAACCCAAAGCTTAGACTGGACGTGAGTGAACTGACGGAAAAGGGTGATCCATCAATCATGAAGACGCAACGATGGAAGAGCTAAGGAAAATCGGGACTGCCGCTGAGGAAGACGGGATCAAGTACAGAAGCGGCATGGAACTCGCCCTGGTAGCCTTGGCAGTACAGCTGAGCATGGTTTTGGTGGCTCTTGACATGAGCATCATCGCAATCGCAATCCCTCGATTTCTATGGCCTCGCCTAGGTCCGCTGGTACTTCTCTCCGCGGTTAGTGTCCCTGGCAGCTTTTGCTTGCCCTCCAGGTGAAAACATACGTGTCGTTCGAATCCTCTCAAGTCGATGTTCTGTCCGTCAATCTTCGATTTCGAATTTGGAAGTCTGGCGTGCCCCTTTTCGAATAACAGCATAACCTTCATTGTCGGCCGAGCTGGCGGCGCTGGCGTCACAGCCGGCTGCTATCTCCTCATTGGAATCATCGCCCGACCTGACAAAGTCCCAGCCTCTTTGGTGGTGTCTTCAGCATCGCGAGCTTTGCAGGACCAGTGCTTAGAGGCATTCTGACTCAGACGGTCAGTCAGCGAGCGTTGGTGGTTCTAGACCGTCTTTCCAATCGGTGGAGCTGTCATCGTCACACTCATACTCCTCTGTCAGACACCTGCTCATGTGAAATCCGTTCTGGCCACGCATTCCGAACCTTTCTCGATGCCCGACACGCCAGGCATCATCACGATTGGCGGTGCTCAGCTGTGCTACATACCTACTTCCTTGCCCTGGAGTGGTGAGCCAGCATCACCAAGTCTTGGGGATGCAGCTAATGTGGTCGACGCTCTCGTGGGAAGCTATAAGGCCTCACTCACGGTCCTGTTTGTGGCTTCAAGAGGAGCGAGCGATCATCGTTCCGAGACTCCTTCCACCAAGCAACGAACCGGAGCAGCCCGGGACGCTTCCATCTTTTTCACCATCGCACGTCCCTACAAGCTCCCCAGCTCCTTCCAAACCGTCAACGGCGTATCGCCTTTTGAAAGCGGCATGCGGACCCTCGGCACTGTCCCTTCACTCTCGTCGCCATCAAAGAAATGGCTGATCTTGGAATCACTACTGCTAGTGTAGCGTAGGTTCTATGTGAGCATAGAGAGTTCACGCTTTGAGCAAGTGTATATTATCAAACGCTCCCTTCAAGGAGCTACTTGAATCGCGAATCAGGGGCGCGGCTGCTCGGCCGGCAGTCGGAGCGGTGGATGACTTGAGAAGATTCAGAGGTCGGAGAGTCGATACGCTCTGTCTGTTGCCAAACGTGGCCCTCCTCGGTGTTCCTACAATCCGTTATTCTGGCTTGATACCGATTTCTTGCACAGTTTTCAAGACGTCAGAGCCCTTTACTGTCGCCCTTTCAGGCATTCTGTATCGCATACGTACCAAAATTAGGATTGTGAAACTCGTAAATTAGCGCTCCTTTCGTTAGGCAGCAGCACTGGGTTGAAACTGCTCGAGGATCGGACTGAAAATCATCGTATGGAAGAGGAAAAGGCCTTTTTCTTATTATCATACAGTAGTCACTGATCAGATAGAGCATGAGGTAAACCAATCGTTTCATCAAAGCAGTCAATCAGCGTCCACCACCCATGATAAAGTACGGCTTTTCCTTCAGCGGGCTCTGCGGCTGGACGTCGTCGTGCGGATGCAGCCCCATTTCCAAACTCACGCTGGTATCACCCACGCTAGTTTCCTTCGACTCGTCCCTCCACCCCGGCGACACTGCAGCGCGTGGGGTGTTGCTGGGCCACATGCTCTGTTTGCTGACGCCCCCGGTGTTGAATCGTATCTGCGATGCTAGCCTGCCGCGGAAGAAGAGGTAGAGAGGGCGTATGACCGGGGCGTTGGCGCAGACGATGCCGATGTTGACTTCGGGTCTAGCGATGATTAGCTCGCGGGAGTACCAAGGGGCGGAGGTTCCGTGGGCGGGGTGGCTTACAGTCTCCAGCCGACGCCTGTGGTGGCAGCCCCTGCGACTGTCAGCTTGATCTGTCTTCACGTATAGCGACCGCAGTAACTCACAAGTCAGGTCCGGGTTCGTGACGGAGCCAGATAGGGCGGTCCGGACAGTACAACAGACGGCAGTGCTGCACCTGGTCAGTAGAATGACTTTCTGTATGGAACACTAGCCTACATACAAGACACCAAGGCCCATGAGCAGGCACAAGCCTACCTTGGTCCGTAATCCGATCTGGAGGTTTCGTAGGAAGATCGCCGGAAGAGCGGCCAGTATGAGGTCGGATATTATTGAAAGGACTGTTGACGTCTGTGATCAGAATGTAATGCTTGCGTTATTACTGTTTGAAATTCGACTTACTGCCTTGTGCAAGGACGACGGATTCGACCTGATGATTCGACAGACACGCTCCATTGACGCCGACATCCCAGTACGCTCTGAGAGGTCTGCAGACTCCGAGGAACAAGAAGATGCTCACTGCAGTGAAAAGAGTAATGCAAGATATTACAACGTGCATCCCTCGAACCACTTGCTTGGTGTCGACTATGCGGAGAAGGAATAGACAAATCGAGATTTTCATGAGCGCTAAAGTAATGAACGTCTGGATCCAGTCGGCCCAGCCCAGGACCTGGAACAGTCGTCGTTGAGCAGAAGTCAAGTAGTACTCGTGTCTTCCCAGTCCGTTGAGAACCTCCGCCGTAATCAACCCAGCGCCGAACAACGACGTCATCTAGTCAAGGTTGACACGTCAATGATTGTGCGCTACGAACGAGGATATATCGCTACAACGGGAGCGGGCCCTTACCATGGCGGCGACTGCAACATAATCGTCTCCTCCCAAGTTGTGTGTAATTCGTGAGCGGACCCACACGCGCAGCATCGTGGAGATGAATGCACACGCGATAAAGGCCCAGCAAATCGCCAGAATAGCCCATCCTTTATCAACATCGCCATCGGGAGGACGTGTAAAAGTCTCTTGCTTCATGATTCTTGGAGACTTTCGTCCAAACTCAAAGCAGGCGAATTGCAGTAGAATATTCCTGCTGCACAGCTTGTTTCGAGTATTATGCGAAAATGAATAGATAGACAGGGAAGGTCGTGATTTTGTCTATACGACCGTCCATATGGCACACCACGAAATGGTCAATGCGGAGCCTATGGCTTAGATCGCCACACAAATCTCATGCACGGGATTGCTTTCAGATGTCGACAAGCACGTGAGAATATGTCCGAGCGGCCGCGGTGGTGGCGGTTCAAAATCCAGAGGCAGTCCCATAATTGTAATTCTATTGGTGCTCTAATACCAATCTTAGCACCGAAGCTACGGTCGCATATATGGTAGTCGATGGAGACGGAGAACAAATCTCGAAATAGGAGAGTGTCTTCACGCCAGATCTTTCTGTGCCGTGCCGTCTGCATCGTTTGTTTCCCACGATTGTCACATTCGAGCCGAGCCGACGACATACCTCGTTTGAGAAACCTTGGCGGTAGTACGAGGTCGACGTTGTGTATCGAGGCTGTTGTGGATCTGAGTAAGACCAGCATCATGGAAGCAGTATGGGCTTCTGAGCTCTTGGAGAAGCGCACCAACTGCGTCTTGTCATCCTTGGCCAAGCCAACAAGGTCAGCGGCCAAAGTTGACCTTAATACCAAATGGACTTACATGGCGTCAAAGGGAAGCAGGCTGATTCAAACGCTAAGCATGGACGTTCCTGGTGAAGGATGCGGGGTAGCCCGTGTCAAAAAGGTCTGCTATTGGTGCGATTTGAATTTCGGAGAATTAGTTGACGATCCTCGGGAAATAAATCGATGCCGGGGTGCATGATGCATGGAAGAGCCGGACTTCTAACAAGTGACAAGTTGTAGAAGCTCTTCTAGCTTGCATCTAGAAGAGCGTGTCGCAGCATATCCTGCGGAATGTCACCTCGTTGCCCGTGTATGGTGTAAGAGAGCCTCGTCATAGCTTGACGATGAAGCTATGATGATGCGGTTTCCGTCCAGCTGCCCAGCGGCCAGCGCCAATGACGCAGAGTCCCTGTAACGTCTTTGTTACCAAGCCCATGGAAACAGACCATTGTGGGTGTCCTAGTCTCAGGGAAAAGGCAACTTTCCGCGACAGCATTCATGTCATGCCGCGTATTGTTACCATGGTCCGATACCCGTGAAACGACGACCGTCAGGTGAATGACCCTGTGGTACTCTCATACAATCTTGGGCCAAATTTGACGGAGCAGTGCCTCGACATTTCGCTGTGGATGAAAACTGTCCTTGGATCATAGCACACCCCATGTTCCCAAGGGATCTTCACCGCCACCATGCTCTCGCCGTTGCCGTTGCCGTTGCAGCTTCATGACTCTTCTGACTAATAAGCCTACCGATAACTGGACCGATGATAGTACAGAGGACAACTGCCCATATCACTACAAGATAGATTGTGGAGCCACTGTCTTCTCGAGCTGCTGAGTCATCATGAGAGGCAAAGATCCCTGTACTCTCTGCCAAAGCTGCGATGAGGAATCCGATCTCTCCTCTGGCCATCATTGCTGTTCCGACGATAGAACCGGGATAGAGGGAGCGCGGCTTTGTCGTCGAAATGGTCGCTTTTGGAGATATAGGGATTACAGAGCCGAGTTGTGGTATAGAGGCGCTTTGCGAGGGTCTGTCGCTGGACTGTCTGGGGCCTTGTCCGCTATCCGTGGCGAGAGCGATGCGAACATCGGGCATAGGTTTCGATCCTGGGTCGTTGGCTGTGTTCCTTGCCTCTGACTTGGAGCACTTTGCAGATTTTGCCAATCCCAAGCAGCTCCATTGTGGTCCATTCAAATGGCTCAGGAACGCTTTGATTTTTGCGATCATAGTGCCAGAGGGAGCAGCAATGCGGATGAGCCATATGCCTGTCACAAGCTTCCCAATGAGCATCAAAATCGTAAAGATGATACCTCGCCAGATCACTGCGCCGGTGAACATGCGTGTGGCCGGGATGGAGAACCCTATCGAAGCCTGACACATGCAGTCAGCTTTTAGACCCCAGACTGAACCGAAATTATTGGCACTTGCAAAGAAGGACGGCTTCAGAACCCTTGCGACAGGCTGCTCAATGAACTTCCCGTAGATGGATACTCCGCTCAGAGAGCCTTGCGCCTGCACTGTCTTGCGGTTCCGTCCATCTGGCTCTTGGATTGCCTGAGTAATAGCGATCCCGGGCACGTCCAGCTGTTCGCCTCTGTCTGTCCTATCGTCAGGGGCGTTCCGACTCTCATTCGTAGTAACACTACTTTGGTTGTGGGCAGCTTGTTGTACCGATCCCCTCAAAATTGACTGCGTCACCTCGATTCGCTCACTCTTCTCGACGTCACCTGGTTGAGCCACCTCGGAAATTTATCAGCTGATTGAAGCACCAGCATTGTAAACTGCAAACAGGTTCGAGGTACCTGCATAGCTTGCAGCGGCCATGATACCAAAGAGCAGAGTTGTATGAGTAACAAGTGTAGCCTTATCGGGCTGCTTCCGGATAGCACGCATCACTGCTGATGAACCAGGACCACCGATCAACAAGGAGATAGGCTTGACCAGATAACGGCAAGTCAAAAGCACAAAGAGCACCAGCCCGATGGAGACAAAGATGGGTCTCACTACAGTAATGGCGTGGAAAGAAGAGGGACCCGACCCCAATTTGGATATGATCTCAACGAGCACGACGAGACCGACAAGGTCATCTATCATAGCTGCGCTCGTCAAGACAGTACCAAGTCTCGTGTTGTTCAAGCCGCTAGTATTCAGAATAGTAAAAGTTGTGCCCAGACTCGTGGAGCAGAGAGCTGCTCCTGCAGCAAATGCCTGCAAGGGCGTGGCAGATGCGAGGCTTCGCAGGCAGGAGGCAAAGGCAATCGGCAAGCAGATGCCTGTCAAAGCCACCAACATGGAAAGACCGGCGTTTGCTTTCAGGGATTTGAAGTTTGTGTTCAGGCCGCCTTCATAGACCAGAAGGATAAGTCCAAGGTATCCTAACTGCACGATGGCTTGTTCAGTGCCCTTGTCTAGCCAATTTGCACCGGGTGTCCCAAAGGCTACGCCAACTAGGACTTGGCTAATAAGGCTGCAATATATGAGGCGGTCCAGGAGGTGGTTGATGACATTTAGAAGAATGAGAAATGATGAGAGAACGAGGATGGTATTGATGGTTGGTTCTTGATATGGCAAAGCTGCCACTGCTGCGGAGTTGTTCATCCTTACATAATGATTGAAGGTACGGTTGTCAGCCAGTCTGTGTCCTACAAATCAGATTGATAAACCATTCAAGCTGAAAGACAAGGGAAAATAAAAGATCTTTAGAAGCAGTCACGCTGTCCGGGGGTGTGAAAATCTGAGGCTGTTCTGAGGGAAAGTGTAACCGAGGGCCGTCAGAACTTGCCTCATGTGGCGATCACTACAAATACACATTTGGTAAACACCTTCAAAGCCTCCGACCTTCAGCACCTTACAAGTAACCGTGAGCTTGGTTGAAGCTACGCTGAGTATCAAGATGGCCTTAGTCCTCGATCTCTCCGACGAGCTGATCATCCTCATCATTTCCAACTTTACTAAACCCTCTCACCTGCTCCAGCTCGCTCTCGCCAACAAGAGAATCCACGCCATAGCCATACAACACCTCTACGAAAACGTTGCATTCGACCGCGCCGACTACCCTGCCTTCCCCCCTTTTATGCAGCACAGAGGCAGCGGCGTTATCCGATACGACTACAAAGCTCCTCACTCGAACGTGCTGCATCTGTCCAACATGATCCGGTCCAACACTCTTCCAGCTGGCCAAACGATCACCGCTCTTACCATCGCCGTCGATATCAACAATGTCTGCAACAAATTTCAGACCTTGCTCTCTCTACTCCTGCCTCAGCTGTCTTCACTCAAGCATCTTACCCTGGAGTCAGTCTCCGACCACCGGCTCGCTTGGCAGCACGAGCATTTCTCGCTTGCGCCACTAGCGGTTGCGTTGAGCCCTGCAAGTCACACCTTGCGGAGTCTTTCCATGCATTTCTTCCTGAGCCCCGGAGACAGCGATGGCTGGACCATCGGTAGCCTTCGCCATTTTTCCGAGCTGAAGTATCTCTCCATTCAAGGAAACGTCTTGCTGGGCCAATACGGCAACATCGCTTCTACCATGCCATCCTTGGATTCCGTCTTACCTCCAGGGCTGAAACGCTTGCGGCTGCACTGGTGCACGATGAAAGGAATCCAGAGTCTCTACGTCGTGCTTTTGGATTTCGTAAAGGCCAGCTTGAGAGTCTCTCGCAAGATGGAGGAGCTCGTGGTGCAGTTGGGTGCCAGGGCCGCCAACGAAGTCGACCAGTGGAACGTGGAGCTCTTCGAAATGAGCATGCCGGACATGAACGAGGACGCCAGGCAAGGCGGTCTGCATCTCAGAATGGCACTGGATTGGAGACAGGACTATCGCTGGGTTGCACGTTCGGCGGTTGCACGTTCGGCGGTTGCACGTTCGGCTTCCAATCGGGCCTTTATGGATCGGCTTCACAGGTTCATGGAGACACAGCCCGAGTCGGTTCAATAGAGCCACACTGTCATCATGTACGTAGCTTGCAGTCAATGGACGGCGCGTCTTGTTGTCATACTTTCTCCAACAGAACAGCCAGTACCAGACCATAACACAGTAATCAAGTCAATAAGGAAGCCGCATACTCGTCCGTCCATCATGAAATCGAGCTTCTGCAGAGAGATTCAACCTTGGCACGTCTACTTCCTTGTTTGATTCGTGGCTTGCGTACATGTCAGCTATGCGTCGGTGACCCTGTTCAGATTATGCAAAGTGAGCATTCCAGGCCCAGCCTCAGCGCTTCCTGTCACTCTGCTGCATCACATGCTACGATTTCACGTTCCTTTACGATCTGTTGCCCATGTTCAACGGGGTAGATATTTGCATCCGTCATTCAAAGAGTTTTTTTCTTCGTCTTTCTTTTGCTGATAATGTTTTTATAATGGGGGAGAAAACCCATGTCTTGTTCCTCGAGACGACGATAGAGTCTCGTTGTCGTCGCCATGCGCAATTACCTCAGTGGCTATATCTCGTCAATTGTTGACAAGACCCCCAGACATAGTAACGGTTCTTCTTGGTAAAGCCATATTGCTGGCATCGACGCTCTGGTCCCTGGCTCGCAATGCCATCGAAATTTTTGGCGCTACTCAATCATCATGGTTCTCCTACCTCCGCTCACTCTCCAAGTGCCGGTTCAACGTCTCCAACACTCGAGCCACCCGGGCGTCCAAGCTCGCCGGTATGATCATCATCGTCGTGTTCTATTCCGCCGCAATCTGGGCATGGTTCTGTTCTGCATCTCTCTCAATCGAAAGCTAAGAGGTGCGTCTTCGAGTTCGCGGCCAGCTTGCACGAGCTTGAGTGAAGCTTCGGACTCGGCTGAAGCTTCGATAAGACGAACTCGCTCGGCTTCGGTAACGCGGCCCTCAGGGGGAAAGCAGTCTTACTTCTACCACATGATGTTCTGAAAATAAGGGTGGACCTTTGAGCTAGACAATGTGGCAGACATGGCGTTGCAACAGCTCCGATAAGTGAGGTTGGTAATTGAGCGTTCGGTGCATTCGATTCCCATTGAACGTTAAAGCAAGATATACTTATTATTTGGCTGTTAGGTTCTATCGTATAACACTTCGTCGAATACTGCACGGGAAAGTTAGTCGCGCACTGACGTCAATCGTAAATCTACAGATCAGTCTCTCAGATTTTCAGGCAAGAAGGAGAGAAAGGGCCATCCGATATACACATACCTGAGCGGCTCCGTTGACAGCGGCATCGCCATATCTCAATACTGCAGAGTGCGTTCAAAGGACCTCCAACCTTTACCATAAGCAGCAGCATCCACATGTGTAGTCATTAGTTCCCGGGATGGAATTTGCATGGTCCTAGTCCTTATATCGATCTTGCGGACTTCGTCGAAGACCGGAAAGCTCCACGAAGCCCTGAATCCTTCTCTCCACAATGCTTTCCCGAACGGAAGACTACCTCTCTTTTGTAGTCTTCGATCACCGTGAAGGAGCTTCTTTTTGGAGGTGAGGCACCAGACTTGGCACGAGCTGATGAGGCGTGGCGCAGGTGGGACAGCATCAAAACGTGGAGAAGGAACTGTTCAGATGGACAGATTTGAAGGGCGTCAACGGTTGATGAATTGCAGGAAAAACGAAACACTGCCCGTAATGTCGCCATAATGCGACGAGTATTTAACGGCCTTAAGGTGAGTTGATGGGCAAAGGATCAGCTGATAATATTGGAAGAATATTGTCAAAAACTGGTGCTTAAAAGGGCACTGGAAAGGAAACCTGGTTACACGTAATAATAATAGTGATATTGAACCGTCTGGGTCATGAGATGAAGTTGTAGTTACCTCAAAACTTGCTCATAAAAATCCGATCTGACCCGAAAATACTCATTATCGTGGCTCACGAAATTTCGAAAATGCATAAATTTGCAGGCCTGAACCCTTCGTTCCACATCTTTACAACACTGCAAGCGCCCCTTATCGAAAGATTGAACGAAATGTCGGTAGTACCATCCCTTGGTCGAGCTGTCTTGAAAATCCCACCAACCATGGCATTGCGCTGCCCAAGGTCCTTAAGCTCATGGCCACATGCTCCGACCACAGTTGTACAAGATCGAAGCAATATAGCAAAACCTTTCTCTAGCGCAGCGGCAGTCTATCCAATCTTGCCCTCTGTCGAGTCAGAACACGAGTCCGAAATACCGAGTGCGACCGTCTTGTCCAAGCTTAACATCTTCGGCTTATGGCGCGACGAGCCCGAAACCAAGGAAACCGAATATCAATTGAGCAGACACCTAGCCCGACGAGCCCAAGAAGGCCGGCGACAGCAGGGACTCCGAGTGCCACCTAAGGACAATGATGGCGGCACAGCCACTCAAGTTCCTGTTGGCGAAGGCGGCTTGGGAGTTGGATCATCTCAGGAGTATACTGAGCAGGAGGAGAATGGCACCGAGGAAGAAGGTAGAGTGGTAGAAGATGGAGGTTCAGGGAGTGATGGGCAGATAGCAGATAGCTATGGCGGGGACGGGGCTGATAATGGCGGTGGAGATTACGGCGGAAGCGGTAGAGGCGGCGGTGGTGATGGTAATTGGCACAATGAGGATCAAATTTGTACTTGAGGACGGGGACTGGCAAAATCATAGACTGGGTCCGGCTCCCGTAGACTTCAAGATAGACTGATCTCCATATTCACTCAATTACTTCTCGCAGAAGTCGTTCGTGAGCCTGCATCGCTTTCTTGGTATAGCCAGCCATATCATTCCACTCCTGATCCTGTCCCGACGGTCCACCATCAAAGACTTCTGTCGAGAGCCAACCACGGAAACCAGTCTTTAATACGGCCTTTGCAAAATCAACAACAGGAAGATATCCCCCATCGAATGGCACAGGCCTCAGACACGAGCTCCACCTCGCTCTCGGTCTCATGCCGTTCTCATCGGAACTCGGGTCCAAAGGTTCTTTTGGCTTGTATGCATCCGAGACTTGTAGTATGTAGATCTTTTCTGCTGGAATAGTGGCACTCAGGTTCCTTAGACTCTCTTGAAACCTTTCCTGTAGATCTTCCATCTTCACATCTCCTTCTAACAGCCCAGATTCCGTGGTAGGGTCGGCCCATTCACCTCCAGCACTCTGGAACGTATCGAGACATAGGCCGAAGTTTGGACGGTCGACCTTCTTGGCTATTTCCCAGACATCTTTCCAATCCGGAGCGTGTGTAGACCAGCACCAATTCTCGTATGCAAGGCGGAAATTGTGGGGAGCGAGTAGATCGGCGAGTTGTTTGAGATCTGAGGTGACGACATCTCGAGAGGTGGGGATGGGAGAATCGGTAGAGCCAACCTGCGAAGCGGTTGTGTCAGCCTGGCCAAGTTTGAAGCATCTGGTCCAATTACCTGCAGCATATCCGTGCCCACAGCCTCCATTATTTTAATCCAACCTTTTGCACGTCGGAAAGCGTCCTTCCGCTCTTCTGACTGCGGCTTCCAACCCTCAAAGTTCGAGAACGGCTGGAGCATCACAATTTTGAGTCCCAACTCCTCGCACATCCTCTTCACCTCCAACCCTGCGGTGCATAACACCTCAAAGTCTTGTGGCCCTACTTCCTTGCCTAAATTCTTTGAGGCGAAAGAGAGTAGATCAGGAAAGCCAAGTTCGATGCCCTGGAAGCCGGCCGCGGCGATTGCTTCTAGCTTCTTGTCCAATGGGTGGTCAGGTGTGCCAACGGATACTGTTGCATAGCAGGTGGGTATTTTGGAGAATGAATCCTTGGAGAGGGGCATCATGTCAGCGTGTACGGGTGCTTTAGGAGAAAGCGAAAGGTTCAATCAGGTTGGTGGTAGAATGGAGATGGTAATGGGTATTATGCGGACTTGGATGCAAGAAAATGCTCCGGTGTAAGGATTCTCTTCAGTCGGGTTCTCGACGATGATGATAGGTTGTTCCCCACATCGTTATCGTCATGGCTTATGGCGACGTCATGCTGCTGGCAAATTTTGATGCCGTCAACTCCATGGTGGGGAGTCCCGTCCCGCCAATTTTGGTGGCAACTCAAATTCTTGACGGAACATCGCCAGCGTTGGAATACGGTTGCACCGCGACATTCTTGATTCTCTTCAAAGGGTCATCAGCAGCAGTATCATCTATCGAGAATGAGAATATGGCCGCTACACGGTTCTACGGCTGCGAAACCCGAGGATTGCTAGACCTCAGGCGGCGTTTGCGGCTTGTAACCTACCTCGATTACTTCATGACGCACATGAAGTAGACTACCAAACACCAAGATTCGAATAGCCTACAGATCCCATCTCGCATTCTCCAACGCTTCGCTCTACACCTTCATAGCACCTACGACCTACGATCAACATGTCAGCACTGGAACCTGTCGTAGCAAAGCTGGCAGGCGACCCTGCCCACGACGAGAACCAACGAACCATCTCTGAAGCCATTGGTGCTGACCACGGAGCCATCGACGTGTACTCCGACAACATCAAGACTGCGAGCACATTGCAAGAGAAGATTGAATGGAGGAACCAATTCACCTGGGCTCTCGCACGTCATGCAGTCAGTGAGGAGCTGACCTTGTACCCGGTCATGGAGAAGAAGCTCGGTCAAAAGGGGAAGGAGATGGCCGACGTGGACCGCGAGCAGCATATGGCGGTGTGTGTATCGGTTCAAAGGGATGAGGCCATATCTAACCCCCACTAGGTGAAGAAAGACCTCTACGAACTCCAAGACATGAGCCCCGATAACAAAGACTTCTTCCCACTTCTCGACATCCTCATGACGGACCTGCACAAGCACATTGAGCATGAAAGCAATGAGGATATGCCCAGGCTCGAAGATATCTTGACAAGGGAGGAGAGCAAAAGTCTTGCCAACTACTTCGAGAAGACGAAGCTTATACTTCCTACACGATCTCACCCATCGGCGCCAAACAAGCCGTACTTCGAGAACTTCGCGGCGATGCTAGCGGCTCCGATTGATAAATTCATGGATCTCTTGAGGGCGTTTCCGGAGGAAGGGAAGCTTGGAGATGTGTCGGCAAGTGAGCCGCCGGCAGTGGTTCAGAAGAGTTAGATCGGGATGGCTTAGGATTTCACGAACCTGGCTTGATGGCTGCTCGTGTAGGGTAGAATCTATCGACTACTTTGCTAAACTGACCTGATGCCTCTCTCTGAATAATTGCTTCTTACTGCATGCAGCTCCGAAAAGCCAATTGATTCGGGGCTGAAATCCTTCTGCTTTGCCTGCCGTATCTACTGTCACCATCTCACACGCAGTTTTCATATTTCAAAGACTACGCTGCTCTGCCACTATATGTTGAATGCTTGGCTTCTATGTTCTTCCAAATCTAATTACTAGAGAGGACTATCTTCTGTGGTTGATTGCGTACACATGCCGTTCGCTTCAAGGCTAAAACCATACTTTCCGGAATCACCAGTGGTCTCTGGGATATCTTTTACCCTGCATCGCAGTCTTCGCTGCTCGCGGCCGGGAAGACGCCTCTGCCCGCGCAGTGGTTCCAGCAGATGGGGCCTTAGGCTTCCTCGCCTTCGCTTTCTTTCGAGGGGCCAAGTCCTCACAATTTCCAGGGTATTCGCCCATGCATGTCTCAAAAACAGTCCGAAGGCTTCGAGCCTGCTCGGTACGTATGTGGTGGTAAGCGTCCCCAGGTGGATACGTTTGCTCCATTCGATCAAAATCTGCTCTGAGGGCCTCAATGGAAGAATAAAGACCATCCTGAATTTTGCTCCTCATCGTACTGAGATCTATCAATTCCGAGGTGGGACTGAGAGAGTTTCGAAAGCATTCGCCGTACCTGTGCCTCATTAAGCTGTTGATCGACTTGACGAGAAACTCCTTCTGGGCGACCGTGAATCTTGAGGCTGGTGGATCTGTGTCTTCGTCCTCAAGGTCAATGTAGCCTTTCCCAATCTCTCGATCATCCTTCCTACCGACGTGGTGGCCAGCCTCCCGTAAAACACCCTGCCGGAGCTCTTTCAGACCTTTGCAAGGTTGTGTCTCTGTGATGGTCTCGTCGCATTTCGGGCAAGCTACCCCGTCCATATCTTGTTCCGCTAGCTTAAAGTGCAAATGCGTCAAGCATTCACTGCAAAACACATGAAGGCAATTAGTAACCACTGGCTCATTGGGTGCATCTCCGCATTGCTGACAGAGGGTATACTCCCGCAATTTGGCCCATTTATGCTTTCGCTTCAACTCTTGAAGATGCCTGCCAAATCTAACAACGAGTTCCTCATTCACAGGACCCTCGGATTTTTGACGGGCCTCTTCTATTGTGTCATCATAGATACTGTGTTGCGCATCCGACCTGTCAGAGCTGAAGTTGCCGCTGGGAGTCAGCGTTGCTGCAGATGGTGCTGTCTAAGTCTTAGCAACTGCATAACCATGAGCCTGAGCAGGGCGACATACCAGTGGACATGCAACTCGTATCATCTGTACGGACAGAGGTACTGCGACGTTTCCTTGGCTGGATAGCTGGGGCAGAAACAAGACTGGAGTCCGGTTGGGTCATCTCTGTCCGTGGGGCTGGTCCCAATGAAGAGGACGAAGAGCTATCGGCTCTTGCTTGAATGGAAGCTGAGGGCATCGATTGCGGCGTTATCGATGACCGCCAACAGTACACCAGTTTTCCATCACCGTCACAGATGTTTAGTTTTCCGCCCAAGGTAGCAGCATCGTAGATGAGTGGAAGCGAGTCCAAATTGTAAGCAGCTCCCCCACCCGGACCACTGATCCTGATCGCATCCGTAGCGATAGTGACACTGTGAGCGGCGCCGCTGATGGTAACCGTCAGCACCGAGGGGCAGATGCAATCGATGACGACCTTGTCATCCATCTAGATTGAGGGATCAGAGCAGAGCGAAGAATGGTTGTGAGTGGGCCGGATCTTCACCTTTGAATGGTTCAGGAGTTTTCAGACGGGAGGAATCGTGGATGGTGAGGAAACGTGTTGATTCAGGCGGAGCTTGTTCTGGCGTGATGGAGTGGTTATGAGAGTCTCGAATTGTTGGGATCAATGGGGTAGAGGACGGTCTGTTGCGGCTCAGGGACAAGATGAGTTGTATTCCGAAGGCAAAGTGAGGTTTGATTTGATGTATAGCGAGTGAAGATATTGAGCCAGTCGGTGATGATGATTATCAAAGAGGAAGAGCCGCTGTCTTGTCAAGTTGAAGGGATGACTTGAAGCAAAGGTATATCAAAGTGAGGATTGATTCCCCAAGAGCTAGGGCTTCGCTTCAGAAGCTCTCTTCAGATTCAACTTAAACGCCGCTCAATTGCGAACATGACAAGCAGAGTCTATTCTACTAAATGGAGCGTGTGTAACGATAAAAGGTGATAAGGCGAGCGTCCTCGATAGGGCTCACGTAAATACTCACTTGCTTTATGCAATTTCTACAACCAGATTTCCTAAAACACTGCTATCAGCGTTCATCGGACACTGGGGTACGAAACATTTTTTGCTGTCCAGCGTTTTCTTCCGCATTTTTCCAGAATATCTAAGTGATTTGTTATATAGTCTAAAGGGGTTTATAGCTCGTCGTCTCTCGTTTGACGTGTATCATGGCTTGGTATCTACTAAACTAGCCTTTAAGAA